AATTACACTACCAAGGCCTGTTGACCACACACCTCAGTGCATATTTCTTAATCAGGTTCTAAGATTTACACTGTAATAAAGCATCTGCTAACCTTGTAACATGCAGCCTAAGCCTGCCAACGGTGCTTTCATTACCACAGCGGCTCATAACATGCAGGTTCAATTTTTTTTATAAATTCAGCTCCTTAAGTGGTATTAGCTCTCTTTCTATAGGTTTCTCTCTCTGTCCTTCCTCTGCTTCTCATGGTCAGTCTTGCACATTGGTTTGTAGATTTTCAATCCTCTAAGGATGACACTGTTTTCTTTATGCTGATCAACCGACACATTTTAAATAATTTTCCAATTGTTTTGCCAAGTCTTGACATTTCCACATATGATTTTAAAATGTTAATACTTATTCAATACCATCGTCCTCAACATTTTACTTCCCATCCTTAAGCTACTAATTTTTTCTTCAACCAGATAAGATTAAAGTTTTTCTTTGTAATTTCTTTTCTACTTCAGCTAATTTCATACTTTTCAGCCTATATTGTGAACTTTGGCTTCATTCTGCTCTGTTTCTGGACAGGAATTAAGCTTTTCTGTTTGCTGCTAATTCATAACACGCCTGACATGTTTCTGGAAAGTAGGTAAACCCCCCTTCAAAATTTCTTTATACATTTTTCTAGAAACTTGGGAGACATTATATTAAGACCCTTCTAGTGCCCATATTCAAGACATTTTTTGATATCATGTATGGTTTGGCTGTGCAGCTTTTAAGATGAGTTTGTTTCTGCCATTTTACTGCCAAATGATTCTACCCTACAAAATCTTCAGATGATTCAATTGTTTTCTGCAGTTTGAAGTTTCTGATGACTTCCTATCACATTTTCATATGTTATGCAGGTAATTTCAGCTTTTTTCATTCAGCAAAAGCATTCCCACTTTGATGTTTCTCCGAAACAGCTTTTTCTAGTTCTTATTCTGGTTGCTCCGTTTTTCTTTGTCATTTAACTAGTCCTTCATACTTTGTGCTATTTCAACCATTCAACTTTTAAACTATTCAACTTAATTAGTAGAATTCTGCTATATCTTTTTACTTTTTAAACTTTTATACTTTTTAAAATATTTAACTTTTTATGCCTTTTTTGCTCCCATAGGAATGAATGTAAAATCAGAAAAATTCCACAAAATTTCAGCAAATCTTCAACTACTTTGAGCTTTAACTACTTCAGCATACTTTCAGCTAGAAACACCATTCAACTTTTAAAATGTTTCCGTATCTTTCTGCTATTACTGTTTAACTCGGCTTTCAGCTAACTTTTACAGTTTTGCTTCAGTGAAGCTTCAAACTTTTAAACAATTTTTACAGATTTTCAAATTTATAATGGAAGTCTATGGACGGAATGTTCAGCTGCTAGAGTGTGCCACTCTAGCGTTTTCAAACATTTCACTCATGCCGAACAGCTTCAACTCACTCGCTCATTTTTTACTCTATCTAGATAAATTTTACATCAAAACGTAGGGATTTTTGTCAGGATTCAGGAAATGTAACCCTCATTCGTGTGACATTTACGGTTTTCCGACAGTTTGGCCCAGACCACGAAGAAGTCCACACTTCTCCAATAGAAATCCAATGAGAGCTCTCTGAAAATCCGAACTGAAAATTCAAAAAAACAGACTTTTTCGTATCGCTCCCATTCGGGAACCGTTCGACGTAGCAACACGAGCCTTGTGGAAGTTGTTCCTCAGACCTTCCTAGCACTCACATTGAAGGAAGTGTGTCGATATCTTTTATCGTTTAGCTAGGAAAAAGGTTTGTTCGGGGGTAACAAATCTGTCCGAACCCCAAAATCAGGATTTTGACAATTATACACTTTTTTACATCGTCACCACGCCTAGACGAAATATTGTAGAAATATGAAAGTCACCCCAGTTGTAGTCCAAAGATGGCTGACGCTCACGGTGAAAGAATTTTTTGAATACCTAATACGGTTTTGGCTCACCGCTCGTTTGTTCGGAGGAAAAGTTTTGCTTTTGAGAGTTCTGCTCTACCATTAAGCTGCATGTTATTCAATGAGACCAGCAGGATTTCTCAAACCTTTTTATTCCTCCTTCCCATTAAGGTTGTGAATGAGCTACAGCCATGAAAGTTACCCCAATCGGAGACAAAGGATAGCTCTCGCTTAGACTGAAAGAATTTTTTAGATACCATTTACGGTTTGTCTTCAGCACTTGTTTGTTCGGAGCTGATAATCCCATTCAAAAAAGCCTGAGAACTAAGGAACGAAAGTGATGCGCGTTTCTCTCTGTCACTGACAGGCTCGTTAACGTTGTCAAGGTAACCGAGCTTCAAACAGATTTTACCTCCACCACTTTAAACAGCACATTTTAATCTAATGGAGGGAGACAACACTGATTTAACATTAGGAAGTGGATACAATATGACTACTGGCCATGACCCTTCCCTTCACACGCAACCCTGATAGACTTTCAAAATAAGACTCCGGGGACCCTTCAAAATAAAAGCCCCTACATTAAACTCATATTTTTTTCCCAGCATATGGGTCAACATTATGATCCGAACTCAACCACTTTTTTAAAATTAGACTCTAGGGGGGTTTTCAAAACACACCCCACAGCAAATTTCAAAATAAAAGCCTCCCATTGCCACTTCATCTACTGCCCTAATAACAGGGGAAAGAGTGATTTAATGATTGGAAAGTCATCAAGTATCACTGCTGGGTCTGACCCTTTTCCTCAACACACAACCATGCTAGACTTTCAAAATAAGACTCCAGTGACCCTACAAAATAAAAGCCTCTATATTATACTTGTGTATTAATTGATGCAAATGGCTCAGCATTATGACCCAAACTCTACCAGCTTGTTTCTATTAGACTCTAGGGACCTTTTCAAAACATACCCCAGAGTGAATTTCACAATAAAAGTCTCCCATTTACGCTCTAACAGAGCATCTATTCACCCAATAACATGGAAAACAAGTGATTTCATATTTAGAAATGGATTCTATATCACTGCTGGGCATGACCCTTCCCTTGACACACATCCATGATAGACTTTCAAAATAAGACTAAAGGGACTCTACAAAATAAAAGCCTCTTTCTTACATACACTCATTCATTGTGCCGTATGGCTCGTAGCTATGACCCAAACTCAACCACTTTTTTTCTATTAGACTCTAGGGACCTTTTCAAAACACACCCCACAGCAAATTTCAAAATAAAAGCCTCCCATTGCCACTTCATCTACTGCCCTAATAACAGGGGGGAAATATACTTGATTTAATTTGATGCAGATAAGAAAATCTTTAGGACATGCTGTCCTGCCCTAATTGTGAGGGAATCTTTCTTAACAAACCAGCAAAAAAACATGCTTTTCGTTTCTTATTTTGAGTAGTTTTAACATGTTGCTTTTTATGGACCTTTTAGGGTTTACAGTGGAAATTAAACACACTATGGCCCTGATACCCTTTCTTTTTTGTCTTTTGGCATTCCTGGATTAAAACAAAGCATTTTAGATACCTTCCTTTAAAATGAGCCATATGTTTTGTCAGTCCTGTGGAAATAAATTACCCAATATGAGTAAAAGAAAAGTATTTATACTCACTCTAGCTGTTCCTTCCACAGTATGGCGCCAGACCTTCACCAACACTGTGTCATATCGATAGTGTTACATAACCAAAAACCATACTGGCTCAGGATCATATTCGATTGTTGATGCTGTTGCTTAAATGGGTCGTTAAGTTTCACACCGTTTATGTGATGATACCTCACTATCTATTTGTCAAACATGTTTGTGAATCTACCCCTAAGACAGATACAGGGATGTCATGATTATGTCGTGAATATATATTCAAACCAGGCAGAAGTTATTGACTTTGGATCTAAGTCTTTGAGAAAGAAGCTGCTTAGTCAGTTATTTCTTCAAATTGGCTTCCATTAAATAGGTAAAAACAACTTTGGTGTCATTTTTTATCAGATCTTGTCTTGTAAGTCACATATCAAGATGATTTCTAGAATTTCCTTCTTTCATCTTAGTGCTTTTGCAAAAATTAGAAATACCTTGTCATCGAGTGGCAGTAAAAAACTAGTCCAAACTAGTTCATGCAATCAGCTGGTTTGCCTCATTTAGAAATATTTTAACCAATATGACTATATGATCTGATTGAATTGCGTCTATTAATCTCTTATAAATAAACTGAATTGGCTCAATAGTGCTTCCTAGAATTTCTATGAGTAGGATAGGATGCAGATTTTTTAGTTATCAGGTTCCTCTCTTGTGGAACCAACCACTAGTTTTAGTCGTTGATGCTGACTGCTTTTACGATCGGTCTAAAACTTTTTACACCATAATTAGAGTAGTGTAGAGCTCTATCTGCAGTTATGTGCTCAGGCTGCGGGAGGACATAGCTAAAGCTTTAGGGAGTAGAGGGGGGCAGATGTACAGCCAATAAAAACCAGAGCTTTAAGACACTTCTTCATGGCTCTGCACCCTTCTAGCATTCCTGATCGCTCTCACTCATCCATTTTACTGTTTAATTCATGTAAAGCACTTTGATTGTCTTTGTAGGAATTGTGCTGCCCAAATAAACTTGAATTGCCTTGCCTACATGCTCACTATAAAGGGTTGCTTCAAGCAAATGATACAAAGCATGCAATATAATCCAGGCGCAGTGAATTCAACAATGACTTGATGCAATTAGCTGGATTATCTTTATTAAGTCAATATAACTGAATCATGTTTAGTTAAAACATATTCGATGTTAAGTGCATTGATATTAAATTAAAATGTGCTGTGAGTTGGTCCTAAATAAATTAACTGAATTTATTTCTTACAGATCTGTATCATTAAAGTACATTAGAAAGCCTACTGTGTTTGCAATGCATTGATACTGGGATACAGGATGGGCAGCGGAGGAGCACAGAAATACAATCAAACAATCTCAAAAGTCAATCTTAAAGATGTAATTTCATTGCCACTAATGAACAGTAATCTCTTTTTCAGTACGGTGACTTGTTACCGTTGGCAATGGTGATGCTGTTTGACTTCCAGCAGAGGAAGTTTCGGCTGCGTCAGTGTCCAGCTGAAGGAGAGCAGGAAGCTGTCCCTGAGGTCAGAGACCTGGAGAAAAGCCTGCAAAGGTGTTTATAGATGCTGCACATTCGCGTTTAAAATCACAATTTAAAACAGTGAAGTTGACATTGTTTTTGTGTATTGCATTTCTTCCAGGTGGAAGACCAAGCTGGCAGCCTCCCTGGCTTGCTTCAGAATTAAACACAATCTGCGGAGTGCCTCCTGTGTTCTGTCCGATTCCATCAGAGTTAAAGAGCACAGGGCTAAATCCCTACCACTTTATGCATGGGTCAACACTTTACACACCAGGTACTGCATTGCTTCTGGTTCTCATAGATATAGAAGCTCCAAGTATTCTTTATTTCAAAGTTGTAATGGCCTCTGAGTTGAGATGATGGCAAAATTTATGCCGTATGTCTTCCTCAAAACCTGGTGAAAAAAAAATTATTAGAAATAGATCTGTGTGTTAAGTTCTGTATAAAACTAGAGGGCACTTAAAGAAGAAAAACCCAAATTTTAAACAAAAAAATTCTGTTACAAAAAGTCTAAAGGAACTTTTCTTGAAACTAATAATGGGCTTTTACATGCTCTTGCATGCATTTAATAGGTGATCCCTCTCGGGAGCAGGTAAAGGGTTGTGTATGTGCACTGTTTTTAAAGTAGAGAGGACGAGTCTTTTCAAAAATTTGCTTAGATCCTCCTATATACCTTTAATGTTGGATTAGTTTTCTTGTTTTAATAAAGATTTTTTTCTAAATGCTTTATTGATAGATGTTGCTGAAATTAAAGATGCTGTATTTAAGGAGTTTTACAGGTCTTTAGCGGGGCTGAATTAAAACATCAACTATTTCTGCAAGCACCAGCTGAATTGAAAAGGAGGCGCCGGGAATGCAGAGCAAGAGAAAGCAGATGAGAGATTAAAAAGAAATTAAAGCCATCTCCTTCCATAATGGATGATGGGCAATCTGATTATCGAAAGACAGACCGATACAGAAGATACTTCCTACCTACAGCTATCAACGCCTACAACAACTCGATGGAGAAAAAAAAACACTATGAGTTATTGCAGCATTTAATTTCCCTTTGGAATAATAAATTACTTTTGAATTGAATTGAAATCAAGGGGATGGAAAAGTTGCAGTGTCAGGTTATTAGTCAGTAAACTTTAAGGAGCAAACAGGTGATTTTCTGCCACAGTTAAGCCGTTAACCAGAGAAGATTGCTTTACCTGTTTTACAGTCTGTTAATTGGGTACCCACTGTGTTAAAGCAAGCATTTTATAAGCCCTGTTCTCTGCAGCCTTGATGAGGTGTGTGAGCTGCTACATGGTGCCAACATGAGTGAAGTAAAGCAAGTGGTTGACCTCACCGATTCAACATTTTCCAAGGACCCCCTCTGTCCAGATACGCTAATTTTCTCCCAAAACCTGTGTGTACCTCTCCAAAGCAGCAGCCTCACAAGCACACATGTTCTGAACATACAGGTAGGCTATGTATGATGTGAAGGTCTGTTTTTAAAAGCACATAAAGAAACAAACTTTTACAGATTAAAACTATTTTCTTGTGCAAAATACACAGTATTTTTTTATACCAATATTTTTTTGTATATAACATATTACCCTCATGTTTATTAAGGGTAAAATTCAGGCTCAAAATCACCAGGGGTTTGATTCGATCAAAGATCTTTGCAGTCTGTTGCTGAAAAACTTATTGAATACTTCAGAGGGGGATTTTATTTAAGCGTTGAAATCATTGGTTTTCAGCATGCATAAACAAACATGTTTTTTTTTTACCTACTAAATCACTGAGAGAAAAAAAAATCTTAGAAAAAAAAAACAAGCTGGCTCTCAGTTTTACAGAAAAATAAACCAAATGATCAACTAAGGTTAAATCCTCAGTTAAATTGAAAGTTGAAAATTGTGTGATTTCCTTTTTAATTGCCAAACATGTAATAATGTAATGTTTTATCTTTGTAGGACAGGAGTGTGTGTGTGGCAGTGAGCGTTTTACAGCCTCTCCTTTTTGAGAAAGGCGATGTCTTGGTGGCAGGCTCCTTCTCAGCTCTCACCCTGGCTCACATAGCCGTAGCAGCCGCTGCTCGCTCCGGCCAAGTGTTGGTGTGCGGCGCTGACCACACGTCTTTGCAGAATGAAGAGATGAAGGCGCTGCTCTCAAAGATGGACATCAAAAGTGAGAAACTATTCAGTCAGTTCCATTAATATAAATAGAGGCATTTCATAACAAATCTCATCCAATAGTACTTTACAAACAGATCTGTGCGGTATTATGGAGACGCTCAGGTTTATTAAAGAATATCCCCTGTTTTGCTTGTGGTTTCACTCAAATAATCATCAAGAAAAGGTCAATTTCAGTCAAAGATAACTGAATATACACAGTAATTAAAAATACAACAGAGACAAAACCAGTGAGACAAAGTTAAAAAAAAAGAAAAATGATTTAGACCTGTCTCCATCCCTTATTAAGACATGAACATCATGCTCATGTCTTAATAAACATATAAAACCTGAAGATGGTTAGGACTGAACATGTAATCCACGAAGTCCAGCTTCAGCAAAGTAAAACAGGCAGAATCTTGATGAAGACCTCTTTAATTTTGGTCCCTTTTTCTATAAAGTAATTTGCATTAATCTTGATCTTCAGGGTTTCACACTGTTTTACAAATAAAATTGAACTTTAGCTAAAAAGACCAACAAAGGAAGAGGTTGTGTTGAAGAACATGATCTCCTCTGACAGGGGTCAACAACTCTGTGGGAGAACATCAGTCATAAAGCTGTGGACTCATGGGTATAACCAGCAGCTTAATGTGATGAAGGGATAGTGAAGCCGAAGATTAACTTGCATTTGAAACCTACATATCAAGTTGCTAAACTCTGCACTATTGTTGACCTGAGTTTTATAAATATACTATAATAATATGTTATTAAAGAATTTAGCCTTTAGCCACAGAGATGAATTAACAATATATTTACTGAACATTGTAAACCACATTTTTCTTTTTCTTTATTACAGATGTCAAAGTCCTGCCAGAAGCTTTTTGCAGTTTGAATGAGTCAAATGCCACTGTAGAGAGACTAAAGGTCATCATAGTGTTGCCTCAGTGTTCTTCTTCAGCTCTCAATGACCCAGTTGCCACAATGTACAGTGAACATGGAGGTATGCCTTTTAAACATCCGCTCTGATCTTAACAGGCAAATATTGGCTTAGTTTAGAGTGAGAATATAAAAACTAAGGGAGTGTTACGGATATGGCCAAAAGCTCAGAGTCAACAGCTAGTCCACTAAGCTGTCACTTTAATTGAATTCTATTCTGTTTATTTCTATAGCGCCAATTCACAACACATGTCATCTCAAGGCACTTTACAGTTCACCAGATCATACAGTCAAATTAATTCAAAGTTTCCAATATAAGGAAAACCAATTGATCGCATCGACTCATTGACTCGAAGGCAATGCCTCACACTAAGAATGCTTGTAGTGACAGTGGAGAGGAAAAACTGTCTTTTAACAGGAAGAAACCTCCAGCAGAACCAGGCTCAGTGTGAGCGGCCATCTGACGAGGCCGACTGGGGTTCAAGGAGACAGAAGCAGAGATACAAAAAGTAACAGTAAAAGGCGGCCCCGTCCAGGAAACACGCAGCCAGGCAGACGAGCTCTGAGCCAGCTCCCATGTCAGAGGATGAATGAGAGCACATCCAGCCAGTCACAGTCAGAGAAACAGGACTACACTGAAAAACAGGCCAAAAAGCATTTACCTCAGTTGACTCCTTTTGATATGGAGCAGATGCGGCTCTTCTCTGAGCCTCTCCCAGAAGACCTAGCTCCATCTGGTGTCAACCCACCCTGTGGAAAAAGCTAATTTCAGCCGCTTGTATCTGGTATCTCCTTCTTTCGGTCATTATCCAGATTTTTATGACCATAGGTGAGCGCAGGAACATAGACTGAGCAGTAAATAGTAGCCTCATTAGACATACACTTGCATTGTGTGGTTGACTCCAGCAATCCTTTACACCTTGCATATATGCAAGAATGGTGGAGAGGAAAAAACATATTTTAATTGGAAAGAAACCTCCAGCAGAATCAGGCTAAATAGGTGCGTTTTACATCAGCATTTTTTTTTATTCGTATTTTGAAGTATCACAACAGAAAAGCTTGATGGAAACATCAGCTTTAGAAAAAACTCCCCAAATTCGCAAAGAAGTTTTTCATTCTTACTTGAGGTGGTTTTGGCTTTTGTGAAAAAGGGTTAATGCGCAAAACGAGAGATGGAAATCAACTCTGACGTAGCAAACTTTGTCTCACATGACAAATCAACTGTTTCCCCTGTCGCCATCGTCATGGATGTTTACTTTTATGAGCATAGACATTGCTGGAAGCAACATTGCCATTACAAGCTGATATGTTAATGTATTAAGAACTTGCCCAATGGCAACACATTTATTAAAACTTTGCTCCATTTCTTATCTGTGCTTTATGCTAGATTGCAGCCTATACTTCCTGTTAATTACAGCTATTTCAGTTGGATAGAAACACCACTAGTGTGAGCCGCCTCTTTCCACTGAGGCAACAGGGAGACACAAGCAGACACACAAAAAACATAGAGGCACTGAACCATAAATAGTTTCTATGTTAGAAAACAATGTAACACATTTTCAGTAGAATTACAGTAAATAACAGACAAGAAGTGGCCAATAAAGTACTGTAAAAGTGTTGTCAATTACTGTAAAAAAATAATAACAGTATCTTATCGCATCATATTGTATTATTTTATATTATGAACTGCCATTAATATTCTTAATCTTCTTATTTATAACAGTATCTTTTATTCCATTATAATACAACTACCATATCTTTCTGGATATAAGTCGCAGCATAGCCTAAGTCATAGGGACATTCTAGTATACTACAGGGTATTTACATAAATAATTCAGAGAAGATTGTTTACTCGTAATAACCATGTCACTCAGGGTGCCAATAGAATTAGCTAGTACAGTTAGTTCTACTGAGAAAACAAATTCTCTCAGATTGCCTGAATTGCAAATAGTGTCCTAATTTGTACAGCTTCATTAAATCCTCACAAATATAGCACAGAACTGACTGTTGGAAATTACTGGCAGACTGGGTTCACAACAAAGTGTCCGTTTGTTGGTGATCTCTAAGCCAGAAAACTCTCAGACTATTTTCAATATTATTTTCTCTAAAAAAAAAAATTCTCCTGACCACACAAATAGTAAAATATGGCTCATTGTCTTAAGTTGTCATGGAAACGCTATTTGATGACATAGGGAGATGACAGTTTAGAATATACCGTAGCTGCGGATGAAGAGTCTACAACATAGTTACATTTCAAAATATTTATGGCTTTTATAAACTATGAGTCCATATAAACTGCAGTTGTCAAATGACTTTGTTGACAGACTGGAATGTACTTCCGGATTTATCCCACGGCTCTGTCTCCAAAAGCAAAATCTTCTCTCTGACCACCCAGCAGTCCAGACTGCTGGCACATTCTTTGACCTGTGAGTATAAACGGTGATACAAAACACAAGCACAAACACTGTGGCATTAACATATTGTAGATTTAAACAAGCAGAGGGATTTTTAGTGTTCTTCAGTACATTCATCAATATCATAAAAGCGGTGTGAGTAAGTAACTTTGGATTTCTGCTTTGTGTTAGTTCCAAAGGTCCAGACAGTGGTCTACTGCACCCGCTCAGTGTTTCCCGAGGAAAACGAACAGCTGGTTAGAAGAGTGTTGGAGCAAGCGCATACTCATCCAAAACTGCTGCCCTTTAGGTAAAAACATTAAAGCTTCTACCATAAAAGATCTTAATACAGTTTCTTAACAGTTTACTTACAAATCTGTTGGTCTATGCAAACAAAGCATTTCCTTTGAGTTAAAATTGGAATAGGTTAAATGCATTTGGCAGAAATCAAGTTCTTTGAAAACAGATTCTGCTACAAGCAGAGAAATTGAGTGAGTTGCTTTTTGAAGTAACACCACTTTAGAATCTTATGCTGAACACCTTGACTTCACCCCTTGGTTTCTTTTATTCTTTGCCAGATCCTCACAGTTTCTAGCTTCATCACATTTCGCTTCGGCAAACACATGCAAAGTACATTTTTCAACACCCTTATTTATAGATGTTGAAGATCGGCCTGTTTTCCAGTGTAGTCCTGTTTCTCTGACTGTGACTGGCTGGATGTGCTCTCTTCATCCTCTGACATGGGAGTTTGCTCAGAGCTTGTCTGCCTGGCTGTGTTTCCTGAACTGGGCCACCTTTTACAGCTGCTTTTTGTATCTCTGCTTCTGTCTGCTTAAACCCCAGTCAGCCTCGGCAGAAGCCCGCTCACACTGAGCCTGGTTCTACTGGAGGTTTCTTCCTGTTAAAAAGGAGTTTTTCCTCTCCACTGTCACTATAAGCATGCTTAGTGTGAGGAATTGTATTTGAGTCAATGAGTCGATGCAATCAACTGGTTTTCCTTATATAGAAAACTCTAAATCAATTTGACTGTATGATCTGGTGAACTGTAAAGTGCCTTGAGATGACTTGTGTTGTGAATTGGAGCTATATAAATGAACTGAATTGAATTGAATTAACAGCAAAGAATGGTTGCAAAAGACATTCAAGCTTGTTGCTCCATAGACCAAGACCTGAGCACACTGACACTTATAAGTCAGTGATGCATAACTCTGTAAACTGATTTTGGCTGAAATTGTAAAATGTTACCCAACATTTCCCTTAGGGAGAACGGCCCGATTTTCCCTGATGACGCCACATCGGGAGACAAAACAGATTCCAAGTTCTTCAGGCTTCAGCCCTCTGAGTTCACCAACGGCTGCTTTATAGCCAGACTGTCGCGGCAGGTGAGAGACAGAGGTCAGAGAAAATGTGAAATGTGGGAAGTGAAAAAAAAAATGCAGAGCTGAATGTTGTGCCGGAGATTGAAGTGAACGGGGGATTTTGTGGATGTGTGTGTTTGGTGTGTTGGAGAATTGATATCAGTGCGAGTGTGTCTTGGTTTGATTAGTTTGCAACAAGACCTTTGAGAAGTGCTGAGGCTGCACTCTTTTACTGTCTACTGGGAGGTCAGTCAGCTCGTTGGTGTGCATACACACACACACACACACACACCCATACACATACATGAATGCTGAGCACTGTACTGTGGAAACACTGCAGTGCTATTTCAATACTCAATAAAAAGATGAGTTGAAGACAAAATATGCTAAAACTCCTGATACATTTCAGTGCCTCAGAGAGAAAACCAAATGGATTATTCTGTGGCATCCCTCACTCCTTCAACCCAGCGCAGTCATGTTGCATTGGTTCATTGCTTCGTCTGCTTGTCTCTTTTTCTTTCTTCCCTTCTTCTCCTCACTCATAAAACAAGACAAGTACCATAGCAGGAAATTAGATGCTGCTGCTTTGATCCCTTTGCAGCTGGGTGTGTGTGTGTGGGTGTGTGTGTGTGTGTGAGTGTGGGTGGGTGGGTGGGTGAGGGGTCTCTGCAGAGAAGTCCCAGAGCCTGTACATCAGCCTGTACAGCAATCCAGGAATCAAGATTTGATCAATATTATGATGATCAATAGTGCTAAAAAGTGCATTTACCGTTGAATCTACTTCAAATCAAAACCATATGATGAATATATGCTTAGAAAAAAAAAATACCTCTTTATCCGCCTTGAAAAGGTATTCACACCCCATCTAAAATCAACTGTCATTACAGTTTTCTTAAGTGTTACATTGGTTTGATAAGATGTCATTAACTCTCTTAATTAAAGGAATTTAAAGTGCTCAAACCTTCTCACACTTTATGTAATAAATAGTCTTGAATTTATCTTAATTGGGTTTTTTATACAATAGAGCAACTCAAGGAAGTGCCTGATGGTTGATTGGAAGAAAAGCAAATAAATGTTTTGTTATTTCTTCCAAACAAAATTCTTGAAAATATAGCATTAGTTTTCTAGTTTACTTGTTTTTCCAAGAATTTCTAAAAGTAGAATGGGAGGCAGATCTCTTAGTTATCACACGCCTCTCCTGTTGAACCAACTGCCCGTTTTAGTCTGTGAGGCAAACACCCTCTCTACAGGCTAATCTTTTATTTTCGATAAAGTTTATTGTTAACGTGTCTCAATTTATCCTCAGCTATTTCTATATTTATGCTGCTTTAGGCTTGTGCTGCCAGAGGACATAGGGACCACTTTTCTTTTTTTTCTTTCATCCTATCTCTATTCTCCTATTCTGCATCATTTGTTAGTTCAACCTCTGCATTTTTCTCATCATATTAGCTCAATTTGGTCTTTTCCTGTTTGTCTGTAACACCATCCTGTAGAGAAATATCAGATGATCTGCTGCCATCAACACCATTGATATATTGATTATAAATGATAGAGTTTGGCCAATTTTTCATAGCCCTCTTTCTCTTCTACAGATAGCTATGGGCCCAGTTTTTACTGTGACTCACTGTATATGCTCCCTTTCTTCCCTTTGACATGAAATTAGCTCAGATCTCATCTGCTTAACTTACACCGAGCCTGGTTCTGCTGGAGGTTACTTCCTGTTAAAAGGGAGTTTTCCTCTCCACTGTTGCTGTATGCATGTTTGGGTTGAGGCGTTGCTGTCAATGACTGGATTCATTCAGCTTGTTTTCCTTAAACTTTAATTAACCTGCAAACTAAACCAATCTGAGTGTATGATCTGATTGAATTGTCTTCATAAAACCTTGAGATGACGTGTGTTTTGAATTGCTGCTACACAAATAAACAGAATTTAATTGAATTTACCCTGAATGTACCCTTTACAAATATTTCAAGTACATAAGAAAAACGTTTTTGGCAAAGTTATTAGTTCTCTTGTTTACTGATTACTTTATTTTTGAAATGGGAAAGGCAGATTCAAATTACGCAGGCAGAAAAATATTAATAGACAAACAATCCTTCAGTCTCATGAAACTCCTTAACTCATTTTAATAAAACCTCAACAGGTTTTTTTTTAAGAGTGTCTTGTATGAAGCATCCCCCTCCAAAATTATATTGCCACCACCATATTGGATCCCATTCATCCGGTGGCTTGTCAAGGCACTTGGGTTGTATTCAGAAGCAGAATTCATTGCTGAATACACTTGTATGTCAAACTTAAAAAAAAAAAATAGTAACTTGAAACCATATGTGTTTTCATTCATTGTGTGAATGCTGTAGGCATTCACACTATTGAGATCCTGTTTCTCTTTATTCTTTATTGTGTGAATGCTGTAAAGCATTCACATAATTGAGATCCTGTTTCTCTTTATTCTTTATTATTATTATTGTGTGAATGCTGTAGGCATTCACACTATTGAGATCCTGTTTCTCTTTATTCTTTATTGTGTGAATGCTGTAGGCATTCACACTATTGAGATCCTGTTTCTCTTTATTTATTGTGTGAATGCTGTAGGCATTCACACTATTGAGATCCTGTTTCTCTTTATTTATTGTGTGAATGCTGTAGGCATTCACACTATTGAGATCCTCTTTTTATATATTATTATTATTATTCTTATTCTGGTTGCTCCGTTTTTCTTTGTCATTTAACTAGTCCTTCATACTTTGTGCTATTTCAACCATTCAACTTTTAAACTATTCAACTTAATTAGTAGAATTCTGCTATATCTTTTTACTTTTTAAACTTTTATACTTTTTAAAATATTTAACTTTTTATGCCTTTTTTGCTCCCATAGGAATGAATGTAAAATCAGAAAATTTCCACAAAATTTCAGCAAATCTTCAACTACTTTGAGCTTTAACTACTTCAGCATACTTTCAGCTAGAAACACCATTCAACTTTTAAAATGTTTCCGTATCTTTCTGCTATTACTGTTTAACTCGGCTTTCAGCTAACTTTTACAGTTTTGCTTCAGTGAAGCTTCAAACTTTTAAACAATTTTTACAGATTTTCAAATTTATAATGGAAGTCTATGGACGGAATGTTCAGCTGCTAGAGTGTGCCACTCTAGCGTTTTCAAACATTTCACTCATGCCGAACAGCTTCAACTCACTCGCTCATTTTCTACTCTATCTAGATAAATTTTACATCAAAACGTAGGGATTTTTGTCAGGATTCAGGAAATGTAACCCTCATTCGTGTGACATTTACGGTTTTCCGACAGTTTGGCCCAGACCACGAAGAAGTCCAAACTTCTCCAATAGAAATCCAATGAGAGCTCTCTGAAAATCCGAACTGAAAATTCAAAAAAACAGACTTTTTCGTATCGCTCCCATTCGGGAACCGTTCGACGTAGCAACACGAGCCTTGTGGAAGTTGTTCCTCAGACCTTCCTAGCACTCACATTGAAGGAAGTGTGTCGATATCTTTTATCGTTTAGCTAGGAAAAAGGTTTGTTCGGGGGTAACAAATCTGTCCGAACCCCAAAATCAGGATTTTGACAATTATACACTTTTTTACATCGTCACCACGCCTAGACGAAATATTGTAGA